GTCTATGGTTGGCAGCAGTGTGGAAGTGGCCAAGTGAAAACTTACACTGAAAGCGACTGTTACCGACCGACTGTAATGGGAGGCGCTCAATCATGGTTCTGTGAGTCTGCAACACGTAAGTCATACTGGACGGCCGAATCGCATATTTCTGTTTTCAAGGCCATTATGCGGTTTTGACGTTAGACTCTGTGACAGCGAAATTACCAGTCTTTCCTGTCTTGTGTGTCACAGGAGCCAAGCCATTTGACATTCTTGTTAGGTAAATGGCCTTTCTAAGGGACGGCTTACCATTACAACCCCCCCTCCAATCTCTGTTCATAATGCTTTAGATGCTAGTGCTGCACAGTCTCCGCCACCAGTATCTTCTACTTGGGTGCAATCTGCAAAATTTCCTGACTGCAAGTAGAGTTTTCACAGATATATTTACCAAAGTCGTATCTAAAAATGAAGGCGCCGCCTCGTCACCCTGCCGACAGATCGCGTTCACAATTTTTCATGCGTTGTCAAGGCTGAGTTAGAATCTAGGGGTGAGGCGAATCATTAGTTGGGACAACTGAATTTTGAACTACCTTGGTGTAAGGGAACTTGCAATTTTGCCGGCGGCAGTGTAACTCAGCCTTACTTTCATCGCGGGAGGCCATAGTCCCTTCCCAGTGATATAGATTTTTGTCTAGCTGTCTATCTGTTTCCTGCTCCGCGCAGCTGTTCGCAGATATGCAACACAGTATATGGCTTATTCCTGCCGAGATTTTGACGCTGCCACGTTTAGAGCCGGATGTTAAGGGCAGCTGCCAGCGTTTGCATGCTAGTCTATTAAGACTCCTTCAGCCTTTGCCGTAGATTTTGTGTGCCATAATTGATGCAGTCGTGGTATATGGAGAGGCCAGAGGAGTCTAACTACTCCGACAGATTGGCCATCACATACCATTAAATATTAACCGAAATTCTGCAATTCTGAAAGGCAGTCATCCAAAGGTATCGGCGGAACGATCTCTCAGGACTCACCTCTCGTAATATACATGTGGAAGACTGGCAATAACGGTCAAGCAGCAGCAGAAAAGACATTATATTTGGATTTGAGCACCTTTATTGGGGGCAGATCATGAGCCAGTATCAGATAAACATCATAACACTAGCAATACTACTAGATTAAAGGATAGACCC